GGCTATCGTATCATATTATAGCTGAAAACTCACTATTGATTTTGTATGCATGCATAAATTATGTGTGTGTGTATGTATGTGTGTGTGTGTGTGTGTATGTGTGTGTATGTGTGTGTGTGTGTGTGTGTTTATTCTATCGTATCGTACTTCAAGAAATCTCACTGTTGGCGTTTTATATATATATGTATATATATATATATTTATTTTATTTTATTTTATTTTATTTTTTATATCGAGTATCGCATCCTACAATAGCTGAAATCTCACCACTTGCGAACTGCATGTCATCTATTTGACGCACATATGGAGCAGAACGTGTACGATTTTAAACCCACGGGGTTTATTGTGCTTATTTTTGTACTTTATCATGGATGAACCCGTGTACATCCCATAGCAACAGTGAAGGAGTGCTCTCCCTCCCATGTGTGATGTACTAAGCAAACAAGCTCATTTGATCAGTATACGCAATAGGTCGACCCAAATTTCAAATCCAAAAGTTAATATCTCGAATTCCAAAATTTACTGGCCTATTTGTTTTCTTTGTAATTTATAGGTTTAACACTGCGGATGCGTTATCTGCCCAAGGAAAATGTGGAGAAGACGTTCTTGGAATCCCTGCTGACCTATTTTAATACAGGTAGGAATACGCATCGAATATGCAGACCCATCTATTCCAATACGTGTTCATATTTACAAGGAAAACACACCGTCTCTTCGGTAGTCTCTTGCTGACGTAATTCTGCACTATTGTGTCCAGTGGCATCTCGAAATGTCCCGATGTCAACATTCTGTTCTTTTATGACCAATTTTTGCAGTATATAACAGTAGGAGCACAGATATCTCATTCTAAGCTGTATGTATATGTATAATATGTATATGTATATATATATATATATGTATATGTATGTATATATATATATTGTGATGTGTGTGTGTGTGTGTGTGTGTGTATAGTAAGATCCCCCAATAGCAATTTGATTATCTTCACACCATTTCAATACAGAATCGAACAATAGGATCAGTACGGGGGATTGTTTGGCGCTACTGGATCAGCTAGGCATAGTGATGACGGAATACCAGTTTGAGCGGTTTTGGAAAAGCATCGCCCCGGAGAACTCAACCGAAATCACCGTCGACGACTTCATGGGCGCGCTAAACAAGCTATCATTTCAGGTGAGAAAATCAGGCTGTCTTGTAAGCTGCACAAAACGCTTTTATTTCGGGTGCGCAAATCTTCTATCCTTTCAGGTTGTAAAGTGGGCTGACATAGCATGTGAGACAATAATCATTCATTCCAGGTTGGAACATAAACCACTACTAGTCTAGGTTTTTTTCACCTGTTGATTGAGGCGTGTTCCCTTTTATTTGTTACGCCAGACTGGGTAGTTTAATGCGCGTGCTAAAAAATCGTTCAACTCGGATGAGAACATACGCACTTAACCCATGTTATCTTCGTTTGAAGTTAGGCAGGTATAGTGAGACTGTGGGGTGTTTTTGTTTTTGTTCGTTGCCTTAAACTACGTTGTCTGAGATATCAAAACGTTTAGACTGAATTCGGAAAGGCTGTTTTGATATCCCACCACCGCATTCGATTGCACCACATCATGAGTGTGTCTTTGTTACTGAGTCAGAGTTTCGCAAAGTGCGAATGATGCCATTTGAAGGTTAGCTGTTTCCTTGCATCTGATTGGCCGTTAGCTGTACGCTTTACCCTTCGGATCTGTCGAGAAACCTAATGTAGCGTACCAAATTGCATTACCAAATTAGGAATCCGGAGTGATGCAGAGATTACTGAGTTACATCGATTTCGGAGAGGAGTTCTTGCACCACTACGTGTTGGGAGGGTATGTTGGTTGTTCTGTTCCGTGCGTACTCTCTATCTTGTCCATCCACAAGTAAGCGTTAGTGGTCCTCTTGTGTACCCCTGGCCTGTGTTTTCAGTACCATACGAGTCTGGTGGCTTTGTGGGCACGAATGCGAGCAAACCTTGTTCAATAAGCATTCCATGTACGATAGTATACAAGAAATGTTTTTGTTGTTTCACAGTTTTGTGTAGTCTGAGCCAATGCATCCGCCGTTTGCTGGGTCTTACCCCTGTCTAGAGCATAGCAAGCACGGACAACGAGGGCTATACTTAACACTGTCATCTTCTTTAAGAAAAGGTTCCGTATACACTTTGACTATGTATGGATTTATGCTTATTGATTATTTTGTATCAGAACTCTTAGAGAGTGTTGTCACTTAAACAAATGTCTATGCAAACGTTATGTATACCCTATAACCAGACCTTGATTTATGCTTGTTGACTATTCTTCTGTATCAGATCTCCTGGTGAGGGCTGGCACCCACACAATGCCTAGACTCACTCTGCAGTTGTAGCCCAGTTTCTCACGTGATGTTGCTTTACCGGTCCCCTCAGGTTTCTGTCCGTCGAAGAAGCTTCCAAAAACTATGCCGTTCCCAAAGACAAAACGTTCTCGCGAAATGACAAGCCGATTGACCCGTCAGACAAAAGTATGTTAACTCTTGGAAAGTGTATACTACGAAGGCCTCAACGGGGTGTGCTCGGCTTTGTTGCGTAGCTTAAAATGCTCTTTCCTATTTGACGCGTTAATTATGTATGCAGGCTCTGGTGATCAACGTTATTGGAGATATATATGTGTGTGTGTGTGTGTGTGTGTGTGTGTGTGTAAGTGTAAGTGTGTGTGTGTG